AGGAGAAGATGGCGAAGAAGGAGAAAGAGGAGCAGGAGAAGAAGAGAAAAAAAGAAATGGAGAATAAAATGTATAAGGTCGGCATGTCAGTCTTTGAAGCATTGCCTGGAAGGGCGGGCGCCTATGTACCAGAATCAGTGAATACGCGGATGAGGGAAGAATCTTCGGCATGCTAAGAATGGCGATACTCACTGACGATACCGACTACGATGCCGGCGAAACGTCCGGGAATGTACCACGTCCACGATTCAACTTTGGAAATGATGATGCATACAATGGACTCCGGACTTGGTGCGTTGCTCTACGTCCTCCTACCAACACGACCAATTTGCCAAAACAAGGTGACACAACGTCTAGACAACGAAAGGAGACTGCCACCACACAAAAGGCCACACCATCTTGGTATTCATACCTTCTATGCTTTATCATTGTCTTCTCAACGCGTACCATGTGAATGGTGTCGGCGCACTCCTGATTCGTCTCAAATCTATCCTCGACACGCCCGGCTGCATAGACTCACTCGCCCTGCTTGTGTGCGTATATTTTGTCGGCTTGTATGTGAATTCGCCTGTCCGTCGTAATGTCAATAAGACGCAGATTCATGCCCGCTCGTCATGTCGCCGGGGTCACCCATTCACAGGCCAGCCATGTCGGCTAGACTCGTCGCATGTCACTGAACAACATCACACCCACCCACCCACACACACACAAACAGAGTTAAGAATATGTGAATAGACCAACAAACAGGCCTTAGAGCGTATAAGTTAAAAAATATGCAGGTCTATTTCGAGCCTAATGCGGAACAGGGAAATGAATTGGATGGCATAAATCGTGGCGCGTTTCAGGCAGATAAAAGTGCCGAACTGATATCGAACAGCAAAGGCCTGTGCAAACAAACATTAGTGAACGCAAGCGCTGAAATAAAGGGACCAAGGCGCAAGAGACAGACAGACAGACAGCGACAAAGAGAGAGAGAGAGAGAGAGACAACGAGAGGGAGCAAAGAGGAGAAGGATAGTGAGAAAGGGTGTGGGTGAATGCATGAATTGCTGAGAGAGAGAAGGAAACCATTCTTTTCTGCATATTTCTTATTTTCACCAACATTTTTCTTATCCTGTCATTGTACACAAACAATCACACACACGCACACACATACACACATACACATTAAATAGGCATGCGTGTGTGTTGGAGAGACAAAAGGAATCACTTTGTTCACGTGAGTCCCGGTGTCTTATCTACCACCTTGGCAGAAGTCCGCCTATCTTGAATGATCACATCTTTAATGAATATTTGCGGGTGGAGATAAACGCGCTCGTGCTATAGCAACACCGTGATGATCCGCTTCACGAACGTCTCTGCCATCGACACAAAAGCCTGGACGTCTGCTCGGCTGTGTGCGCGCCAGGTCACAAGTCTGCGCTCAGCCACGTATGGAGGAGGTGTGGAGCCAATATGTGGTCACCTGGTGGCCACAACAGGCTTCTCGTATCGGGTTGCTGCGCCTGATGCGTATGAATTACGGGGCACATGTGTGTGTGTGTGTGTGTGTATGTGTAGGGGTACAGGGGTGCAGGAGTGTATGGATGACGAGACGAGAAGTTGAAAAAGGCACGAGAACAAGCCGTCTCGTGGCTTAGTTGAGAGAAGAGTTCAGACTCGAAACGATCAAACTGGTCTCGCCAAAGAACTGCGGCGGCGGCGGCCTGTCCGACCAAAATGTATTTCAGCGGAAGAGGACTCGGCCGCCGCGAATCAGCCAATCAGCTGCCGACTGAAGCCGTCTGAGTGGATGGAATTGGCGACTTGGTTGACCGATG